TCATTTTAAGAAGAATAGAGTAAACCAACAAAAGAAGGGCATTTTACACTCTGCAACTGCTAAATCCACATTATGCACTTAGGAAATGCCAAGTGTTAGGCAGTGTTAGGGAGTAACCAGGAATTCTGCAAGCATCTTAAATTGGATGGGTTGTGACAAAAATCTGTTTCTACAGATTTTTATCTATAACTGTCTGATTTTTGATTGGGATGACTGAGTTTCCCATCACAAGGCATACATCACCTCCTCCAGGCAGCCCTTCTTCCCCTTTCCTGTAATTCCCCCATGTGTCCATCCACTGTGGCATTTAATCACACTGTGGGCTGTTGTAAATTCTTGTAAACTCAGCCCCCAGATAGGGTTTCGCCCACTGAAGCTCAGTGAATGCCTGTTGAATGGATGGATGAGTGGGTGAACGAAAGAAAGGAGCACCAGGAAATGGCAGAAGGAGCAGCAAGGAACACCTCTCAATTCTACATCACATACTCACGTTTCATCTGTGAGTTGGAGAGAGAAGGAACCAACCTTTAATGAGCACCTATTATGGGCTAGGCTGTGCAATGGGTACACTATTTATTTTAATTAATTCTCACCATATCTCTCTCTGAAGTAGGCATTATAATTCCCATTTTTACAGATAGGAAAACAGAATCCAAGAGGTAGCTTGCCCAGGTAGTGAGTAGAAGAGACCAGATTGAAAGTCAAGTTTATCTGACTTCAAAGTCCATGTTCTCAGTTATCCCCAGAAAACAAAATGGCACAGCTTCCTGAAGACATGGAGAACCAAGTATGTCACTGGCTGGCTCTCATCCTGGAGCCTCAGGGACTCTCATTTCTCCTCTCTGTGTCTCTGCAGAATGGCTTTCTCTGCCCTGCTTGTACACATGCTAATCACAGCATCCCCAGCCTGGGCAATTCAAGCACCCAGAAGAGAATGACTAACATCACTGTGTGTGGCCAGATATCCTCGCCAGTTCAAAGAGCTCTGGCTGAAGGCAGGTTCTGGTGATCCGCAGGTGGCTCAGGAGAGGTTGTAGGGTGGGGAGGAGACAAGGAACCCAAGTGGACCTATATGTGTAGTCTACAGTGGGCCTGTATTTGCAGCCACCAACCTGGTGTGTTCCTGGTCCAGGCATCTTGTCCTTGGCTTTGGCTAGGAGCCCTGGGCCCAGAGTCTAGCCTCCCTGTCTACCTCACCCCACAGTCCTGAGGGTGCTTCCAGGGAACAGGACTGTTCTCACTATACTTGGAAATTGCGGACCTCCACACCCCTCCCAGTCTTGAGGCATCTCCTATTTTCCCCTTGACTTCTACCTCTAGCCCCCCATAGGCACTTTCCTCCAGGACACCCAACAAAATACTATCTGTGACCATAGGCTTTAACCAAAGGCAGGAAGATTGATTGTCTCCAAAGAGCTTCCGGTATTGTCCAGCAATATAGACCCTCTGTGAGGCAAGAGGAAGCCAGAAGGAAGTTCTTATCTAACCCTTAACCACAGTTATCTGATGTTACCAAGTTCCTTGCTGGCCAAGGTGAGATGTTCCAGGGCTTTAGACTATTTGCATGTGAATCTTCTCCTTGCTACCCTGTGAGCTCCTCCAGGCAATGCCTGGCACATAGCATTCATTTATGCATTTGTCAGTTTAAGATATTTATTAGGGCCTACTCTGTGCCAGGTGCTAAGGATACACACCACTCACGGTCTCTGCTCTCATGGAACCTATGTTAAGTGTGGGGAGCTATATTAAGATGATAAACATGTAAACAAGCAAATTCTTTCATTATGGATTGTGGTATAATGCTAGGATAGAGAATGACAGGGTTGAGCAGCCAATAGAACACCTTCCATGATGAAACACATCTTTTCTCTCCTTTTCGTACTCAAGCACTTTTCCCTGGGCTCCCTTCTCAGCTCCATGGATATGCGTAAATATTGCTCTTTCTCCTTATGTTAGTTCCCTAGGGGTGCCATAACAAAGTGCCACAAAGTGAGTGGCTTAAAATGACAGAAATTTATTCTCACAGTTCTGGAGGCCAGAAGTCCAAGTTCAGGGTGTCGGCATGGCCATGCTCTCTCCAAAGGCTGTAAAGGAAGATTCTTCCTTTTCTCTCCCAGCTTCCGGTAGCCACAGGTGTTCCTTGGCTTGGCAGCTGCGGCATAACTCCATCTCTGCCTTCATCTTCATACGGCTGTCTTCCTTCTGTGTGTATCTCTGTGTCTCTTTTCCTCTTTTGTAAGGACAGCAGTCATACTGGGTGAGGACCCTCCCTACTCCAGTATGGCCTCATATTTTAACTGATAGCATCTTCAGAGGCCCTATTTCCAAATAAAGTCACATTCACAGGTACAAGGGGTTAGAAGAGGACATGGAACCAGGGATATCATTGCTGATGTCTGATGGAACCTGGCTGAAAGCAGAAAATACCAGAAAGATGTTTACCTGTGTTTTATTGACTATGCAAAGGCATTCGACTGTGTCGATAAAAATCAATTATGGATAACATTGTGAAGAATGGGAATTCCAGAACACTTAATTGTCCTCACGAGGAACCTGTATATAAATCTAGAGGCAGTCATTCAAACAGAACAAGGGGATATACTGCGTGATTTAAAGTCAGGAAAGTTGTGCATCAGGGTTGTATCCTTTCACTATACCTATTCAGTCTGTATGCTGAGCAAATAATACAAGAAGCTGGACTATATGAAGAAGAACAGGGCATCAGGATTGGAGGAAGACTCATTACCAACCTGTGTTATGCAGATGACATAACCTTGCTTGCTGAAAGTGAAGAAGACTTGAGGCACTTACTGATGAAGATCAAAGACCACAGCCTTCAGTATGGATTACACCTCAACATAAAGAAAACAAAAGTCCTCAAAACTGGACCAATAAGCAACACTATGATAAAAAGAGAAAAGATTGAAGTTGTCAAGAATTTCATTTTACTTGGATCCACAATCAACACCCATGGAAGCAGGAGTCAAGAAGTCAAACAACGCACTGCATTGGGCAAATCTGCTGCAAAAGACCTCTTTAAAGTGTTGAAAAGCAAGGATGTCACTTTGAGGACTAAGGGTTTGCCTGACCCAAGCCATGGTATTTTCAATCGCCTCATATGCATGTGAAAGCGGGACCATGAACAAGGACAACCAAAGAAGAATTGATGCCTTTAAATTATAGTGTTGGTTGAGAATATTGAATATACCATGGGCTGCCAGAAGAACAAACGTATCTGTCTTGGAAGAAATACTGCCAGAATGCTCTTTAGAAACAAGGATGGCGAGACTTCATCTCACATACTTTGGACATGTTATCAGAAGGGACCAGTCACTGGAGAAGGACATCATGCTTGGTAAAGTAGAGGGTCAGTGAAAGAGAGGAAGACCCTCAATGAGATGGACAAGCTGGGCTCAAGCATAGCAACGATTGTGAGGATGGCCCAGGACCAGCCAGTGTTTCGTTCTGTTGTAAACAGGGTAGCTATGAGTAGGAACCGACTCGATGGCACCTAACAACAGCAACAGGTTCACTGAGTCAACTAAAATTTGTTGAGTATCTGCTCTAAGCCAAACACTGTTTCAGACTGGAGGATACAGTGATGAATAAGACAGATAAGATCCTTGCTCTCATGGAAGTTAAGTTGTAGTGGGGAGACAAGTAATAACAAGTAACAAAATGAACAAGGGAATTTTAGGTCATGGTGTTATAAATAAAAGTAAAAGGGTGATGTGTGAGAAAGAGGCTGCTTTAGGTGGGGTGGCCAGGAAAAGCGCCTCTGAAGAGGTCACCAGTGAGCTAAGCTGGAATGAAAAGGAGCTGGCCAAGGGGACATCTGGAGGTCAAGCACTGCAGGCTGAGGAAGAGCATCTGAAAAGCTGCAAGGCAAGGATGGGAAGCAGAGAGCATGCCATTATGCTGGGGCAGAGTGAGCCAGAGGGCCTGAGACAGGAGAGGTTAAGTGGACAGGCAGACAGCAAATCTTGTGCTCAGTATGTGTTTATTGAATGAACAAACGATCTAATGACCCAAAACTCCAATGCTTGTATCTTACAAGCTTCTTGAAATCTACTGCATGATGCCCATGATGTCGCTTTCTTTCCCCTGCCATTCACTTAACTGTCTTATGATCTGACTATGTAGCCAAGTTTTGGCCTTTCCCCCCACTTCTTCCCTCTACTAAACTCAGTTTAACATGCTTTTATTCAGGCCAGCAGTCTTTAGCCAAACATTCTCCTTAGGGTTTCTGGAATGCATGTCTCTTGCTCTGATCTTTGCCTTCCAGTTATCACAGCCTGCTGTCCCAAGGACACACACAGCCTGCCAACACCAGCTACATGCACAGCCAGCCCGGCATTGCTTTTTCCTCCCCTAGCTCCCAACCCCATGACCTTCAGTTCAATTTGATTAATATTTATTGAGCAACTATCTTGTGGATGACTGGTGAGGCACTAGCAGCAATGGTTAAGGGTGACAGCTCTGGAGATAGTCCCAGTTTGAAACCTCCAACACTGATTGGTGTGTGAAATTGAGGAGATTATTTAACCGCTGGGAGCCTCAGTTTCCTCATCTATTCAGTGGAATAATAATAGCATCTACCTCACGGTGTGTCTATTGGGATTGAGATAAATCACGTAACGCTCTCAACCTAGTACCTGGCAAATAAGCTAAACAAATAAAAGTAAAAAGATGAAAAAATTGTGATTTTTTTTGTAATGAAATACAAGTTCTTACAGAGCCAACTGTGACAAGTGCTGAATAAGGGCATCAACAAGACCTGCTGGGTGGATGTAGGGGGAGCAGTGAGTACCGACTAGGGCAGAAGTGGAGTAAGGGAGTCTTCAACAGTGGACAACAACCATGGAGGTGACAATATAGGAGGAAGGACCAGATAGAAGAAAGTGCATTCATGCATCCTTTCAAGGCAACTGTGCACCTACTCTGTGAAAAACTGTTGTTAGGTGCCGTTGAGTCAGTTCTGACTCAGAGCGACCCCGTGTACAACAGAATGATGGTCCAGTGCCATCCTCATGATCGTTGTTATGCTTGAACCTATTGTTGAAGCCACTGTGTCAATCCATCTCATTGAAGGTCCTCCTCTTTTTCACTGACCCTCTACTTTGCCAAGCATGATGTCCTTTTCCAGGGACTGGTCCCTCCTGATAACATGTCCAAAGTATGTGAGACAAAGTCTTGCTACTAAGGAGCATTCTGGCTGTACTTCTTCCAAGACAGATTTGTTCATTCTTCTGGCAGTCCATGGTATATTCAATATTCTTCCCCAACACCATAATTCAAAGGCATCAATTCTTCTTCAGTCTTCCTTATTCACTGCCCAGCTTTGGCATGTATATGTGGCAATTGAAAACACCATGGCTTGGGTCAGGCACACCTTAGTCCTCAAGGGGACATCTTTGCTTTTTAACACTCTAAAGTGGTCTTTTACAGCAGATTTGCCCAATGCAATGCGTGGTTTGATTTCTTGACTACTGCTTCCATGGGCGCTGATTGTGGATCCAAGTAAAATGAAATCCTTGACAACTTCAATCTTTTCTCTTGATCATGATGTTGCTTATTGGTCCAGTTGTGAGGATTTTCGTTTTCTTTGTGTTGAGGTGTGATCCATACTGTAGGCTGTAGTCTTTGATCTTCATCCGTAAGTGCTTCAAGTCCTCTTCATTTTCAGTTAGCATAGTTGTGTCACCTGCACATCGCAGGTTGCTAGTGAGTCTTCCTCCGAGGAAGTGTGGAAAATACTGATTACTTAATGAACAAGTGGCTGAGTGTAATACAAGACAGAAAGCAGTAAGCACGTTCAGAGAAATATAAAGTCAAAAGAAGTTTAGAGAAAAGTGAGCTTAATTTCACTAGCTTGTATTTGATATTCCATTAGCACTATGTACTTTTAATGTTTTATTTCTCTCAGTTGCATTACATTTACCTAGATTTTGTGACTTTAGTTAAGGCACTCAGGCAATGGTGCCTGAACTCTAGCCTGCATCAGAATCATCTGGAGGGCTTGTAAAGCATGGGTTGCTGGGCCCCACTCCAGAGTTCCTGTGTCAGCAGGCCTGGGGCAGGGGGGGTGCTGCTGCTGCTGGTCTGGGGACAACACTTTGAAAATCACTATTTTACTTACAGAGCTAGACACAACCAGGAATCCAAATAAAAGTGACTGATGGACAGACGGACCAGTGGCAATCTCCAGTGTCCTGGTCATACAGGGAGAGGATGGGCAGGAGGATCTCCGTGGAGCACAGACACCTGCTGCACCAAGCACGATGCACCTCATTTTTTGGAGATGTGAATATTTACACATTGTAAAGTACACACACACACACACAGAGTGAAAATGTGGAAGAGCACCCTCCAGTTTGCTCTCTTCTTCGCCACCACCACAATTCAAAGGCATCAATTTTCGTTTGGTCCTCCTTGTTCATTGTCCAGCTTTCACATGTATGTGAGGTGACTGAAAATACCATGGCTTGGGTTAGGAGCACCTTAGTCCTCAAAGTGACATTGGTGAAGAACACTGACTGTACCATGAACTGCCAGAAGAACAAACAAATCTGTCTTGGAAGAAGTACAGCCAGAATGTTCCTTAGAAGCAAGGATGGACAGATTTTATCTCACATACTTTGCACATATTATCAGAAAGGACCAGTCTCTGGAGAAGGACATCATGCTTAGTAAAGCGGAAGCAGAAAAAGAGGAAGACCCTCAATGAGATGGATTGACACAGTGGCTGCAACAATGGGCTCAAACATAGCAATGACTGTGAGGATGGCACAGGACTGGGCAGTGTTTTGTTCTGTTGCACACAGGGTCGCTATGAGTCAGAACGGACTTGATGGCACCTAACAACAACAGCGTGCTCTCAGAACTTGATAAAGTTGAGGTATTTTTGGAAATGTGGAAATATTCTAAGAACTCAGCAGAATATTAATCATATATAATTTCTGGAAATTAATATTTTCCCTAATTTGGAGAAGTGAAAACTCTATTAGATTACCTACGTTATATGTAGAAAGCTTTAAGAAAGGATGCAAGTTTAAGCACACTAAGCTGTTTTTAAAAACTAACTCAGTTAATAAAATGGAAAAAAAAATCACTGAAAACTACTAATCACTGCTAACTTTTATTTTGTATTCAAGGACACAATCAACCAGGAGAGGAGGGTTCTTTTGCTCTGTCAAATAAATATATTTAAAAGCTAGCAAACTTCAGAGCAGAATTAAGTGCCAAGCTATAAAAGAGATGGGGGAAAATCACTAATAGTTATTTACAGCTATACAGAGTTAACATATCGAAAGGGAAACAATATAAATATTTTCAAAGGTTTCATTTCCAATACTTGGCATTTCAAATTTTGAAAACATTAAAATTATTGTCAAACAAAACTCAGACCACATTAGCAATGGTTTAAAAAAGGGAGCAATTTAATCATTATAATACAGAGTGTTTTAAGAAGTTTTAAACGTGTAAAAGAAAAAAAGTTTAGTGCATTAAATTGTTACAGTCTTTACATTGCTTCTTTTTAAAAAAAGTTAACAGTAGTATGAAAAAAGCCACCCACAAAGCCAGCTGAGTGAAGAAACCAGCTAAATTGCAGCATTTTGGAATTACTAATAAAGCTATAGTTAAAAAAGAAAACGTTCATGAAAATGAAAGCAGCATGCATATTCAAGGCTTTTCATAACATTTTCATTAGCTGAAAAACATGTAGGTAAAAACCAAGAGCTTAATATTTATTATTCATTAAATTAGATAAAATAAACTGGCCAAGCCTACTACATCTGCTCATTCAGAGAAAACATTTTAAAATCCAAAGCTAATTCAACCGAACATTTCTTCTAGAAGAAAGCACATTTTGAAAAATGGTCCTATAGTCACAAAAGAAAGGGTCCTTCTCAATCTAAGTGAACAGCACCAGTCTTTACAAATAAGTTAGTGAGAACTCTCAGTCTCCTGGCATGGCAAGAGTTAACAGTTAACACTCCCATTGATGCCTAAGTGAAAAGCTAACTTTTAACTCATGATCAGTTCAGAATTTTTTTTCTCTATTCATTGAAACTGTTACACAAATTTCACTGAAAGATAATTCTTGAAAATTCTGATCTGACGCCTGTACAAACATTTCTGATACCCACGTGATTGCTAAAAAACAAACAAACAAACAAAAAACACTAAGTACATATTTACTATATGATTCTTTTTTCACATTTTTGGTACATTTATTTCAGAGTTTCTCCCTATGCAAATTCATATGCCAGTTTCTTTTCCTTCTTCATTATTGTCTTTAGTTTAATAAAAAAGCAAATTCAGTTTCTAATGACAGAAGCATTACAAGTAGTAATAGTAGCATCCATGAATGTGTTCGGCGTAAGAGCCAGTCATTAAGGGCCTGTGCTACCACAAAATCTAACTGTTCCAAAACGTGTGAATAGGCTGTTTGTTCACTTACAGTGAAATTATATAAGCCCATGTACAACTTTTAATCTTAGTGCGGGGGCTTGATAAATAATACAGAAATAAATCCGTTTTTCTTCCTGTTTCTAACAATTTTTACTCTGTAAAATGTTTGGTCACTCAAAGCTATAAGCTTAATCACATATCAGAGAATACGGGCAGTAGAGCCCATCTTACAGACATACGGTATTGAGCTGGACAAAATATAAGAGCACAAGCTCTAGTGGTCATTAAATCCCTCCAGAAAGTCTAAGAATCCGAATGTCTCCATCATATCAGAATAAAAATGTGCTGTATTAAAATTTGAAATTTTACAAGGTGTTTTTTAAATTAGTGGTCTATTTACATTGCAGAACTTCCACCAGCTGCAGTAGTTTAACTTTGGCACAACATACATTAAGTTCCATTTCTTTTGGGTACTGAGTCCTATTTTTTTGAGTGTGTATGCCTCAAAACGTTTTCAGTTTCATCAAAGATTGGGCCCATTCACAGTAAATCAGACATCTTGAGTTGAGGAACTGATTCTCCTTCAATGCTTTAGGCAGCTATAAAAGAAACACATCATAAAAACTGACATTTTGAAGAATACCATACTTGAATTTTTACCACTTTTAGAAACAAAAAAATACATAAATTAGCCATGAAAATACATCCTCTGCATTATGAAAACTGAGATCACTTGCTGCATACATCTTATATAATGCATTAGACTTCGTTTGAACTCTTATATATATGCTCTGCCTATACCCTCAAGGAGATGGATTGAAACGGTGGCTGCAATGACGGGCTCGAGCACAGCAACGATTGTGAGGATGGCACAGGACCAGGCAGTGTTTCGTTCTGTTGTACATAGGGTCGCTATGAGTTGGAACCAACTCGAGGGCACCTAACAACAACATAACAGCTTTGCTTAGAGACATTTGTCACCTTACATAATAATTTGGAAAAAAAATTAGTAGGAAGTACATATTTCATTGTTAGTATCTGTAATAGACTTTGAAATTTTGTATTTTTTTCTATTTATATACAAGGCAGGCAGGTGCGAAAAGATACATGTATCTCATTTTCTATAGTAACCATTTTGGAAAGGTTTTGGGTTTTTGTTTTGTTTTGTTTTTTGTAAATTGAACCATACTTAAATGAACAAGTAACTATTTAGAGGAAACCTACAGTGAATCCTTTTATAAGATAAAAAAATTATTTTATTAAGCCAATGGTAACTTGCTAGTTACTGTGTTTTATAATTTATTTTTGCATATTTAAAAAAGCAAGGCATGCTACAAATTGCACGCATCACATTTATGATAGAGTTTTAAAAACTGCAGCTTTCTGTGAATTTTCTGACCATTATTAATACCCATTACAATATTAATATATAACACAAGAATTATCCATACATACTTAAAGTACTGTCAAACTAAACCATAAAAAATGTTCACATTATTTTTAGAAGAACACAACTCCCCACAAAATCACTGCAGAGGTTATGCAATAACAACAAAAATTCACTACAGCAACAAATTTGTTGATTTAATCCTGGCTGAGTGCACATTTTTGTATTTAACAATTAAAAGAAAAAAAGCCCGTTAAAAATATTTCATGAATCTAGGTCAGAAGAAAGCTGTCGTGAAGGTTTCTGACATTAGAAAATGCAGGGTTTCTATTTGGGATTAAGCGGTACGAAACTGCTAACTTCTTGTGACTTACAATGATTATGTTATGATCTATACCCTGGAATGGGAGTCACACTGCTTATTAAAATAGGTACATTTTTAGTTTCATCTGTTTTTCTGCCAGAAAAAAAAATGTTAATTACAAACAGAAACAAAAAACCTGGAGAAGGATTGCTGAGCAGCAAAAAGAATAGGGCCTGGCACATATTAAGCTCTGTAAATATTTGCTAAATAAGATAAAATAAATAAAAACAGGGAAGAAGACATGAGGGAGTCAAGGAAATAGTGCATAGGGTAAAAGAGTATAAAAGTAGAGAGTAGGGTAGGGGTGCTTAAAGCTAAGGAAATAATACGTTCACATGTAAACAAATAACCAGAGGGCCTGTGCCTCGTTTGCTCCCTGGCTGTTGAGAACGCTGCAGGAATTTCTAAGAGCAAGATGCATACAGGACTACTGATCAACACACATAGATACTTCATGACAACTGCATTGTTTCAAAAAGTGTACTTTTATCCGGGAACACTCCAAAACAAAGAGTAGATGAAAACAGATCTGTGCTATTGAATTCCAGAAGTATTAAGAATTGAAGGTCCTTTGCAACCAAAGTTACAAAAACAATTTGTGTATAAATTTTTCAATGAGAAACTAATTTGTGCTGTAAACTTTCACCTAAAACACAACTGAAAAAAAAAAAAAAAGAAGGTCCTATTCCAAATCAGGTATCTGATTTGTAACTTCAGTATAATTTTAATTAATCCAGTCTATAGAAGAGTTAAGATTTAAGGCACACGCCAAGACCTTTCAAATTTAAAGCACATTCACTTCCATTTTTATGACTACAGACATATACTGTTAACTGAATGTAGTGTTTCTGCCAGTAGCAGTTTGTTTTATATCAAAGAATGAAAAAACATTTTAAGTAACTGCACTAATTTAATATCAAATCTGTTATTTACCTTTTAATTGCAGCATTTGCTCTCTAAGATAGAAATAATTTATCTCCCAGTTTTCAAAAACAGATGCCACCGAAGCAAACATGAATTTATATATGGCTTAGAACAGACCTCTGGCTTTCAACAGAAAAAATATCAAATACTTTTAATACATAAAGCATTTTAAATTCGAGTTGAAAATCTGGCAATGTTGTGGGGGGCAGGAGAGCAAACATTTAAGGTTTAGTAAATCCTGGAAGACAATGAGGAAATAAAAAGATACCCATTTCCGTCTAGTTTCCTAAAACTGAGCAATCCTCACCCCTGCGGTCTTTCCTCCGGTATACTTTTCCCCTTCTTTTTAGTTTTCGTTTTTGAATTCTTTCCTTAAATAGGCAAAAAATGAAGCTTTAGTGAAGGGAGGGTTGCAAGAAATACATGTTCGTGATCTCTAGTTTTTGTCTGTGAGTCCCGCCCCTCCACACCAGTCTCCCTTCTTAGAGAAGGGGTAACTTTCCCTCAGAACAAACTAAAACACATTTCACGTGAAAAATAATTAAACCAACATTAAACTCCACATTAAAAAACCATAATAATTATAATAATCAAACTACACACGATAATCATAGATCTGTTGGCTATCCTAGTGGCACCCAGTCCTCTTATTAGGTAAAGGAAAAACTATTTTAGAAAAAATTATCAAAAGTGAAGAAGACTAATACAAGGTGACTCTTCTAAATGTAAATGGCCGGTCGATATAGACTCAGGTTAAAAACTTACATTTCAGTCATCTGATTTAGAAAGCTTCCGCTTCACATGCCGTGGGGGCTCCCAAGTATCACTGTCATCTGTTTCTTCTTCATCTTCTTCCTGATCATCAATAATTTCATCCTCCTCCTCATTTTCTTCAAATAATTCTATACCTAACTCTGCTCTTCGCTGTCTCTCTGCAAACCACTCTCTGACCTGCTCGTAGCCCATATGTGATCTGTTAACGAGTTCATCAAGGTCTTGTTCATTCAGAAATTTGTGCTTCAGGTAATAATCCTTAAGTACTGCAGTTCCAGTTTTAAATTTTATGAGCGACAGCCCCCTGTCCCAGTTGTTCATTCTTTTGCTTCCTCGAGGCCGCCCACGTGATCTGCCTCGCCCCCTGCCTTTGGGTCTCCCTCTCCCTCTTTTCCTTAGGGAAGACAGACCATTCATACCACTCGCGTTGGCGCTCTGATAGTAGTAGTACCACTTCAAGTTTCCATTCTTCCAAGCATAACGAGTGTCCCCAAACCAACTAACTATGTCTGATCTAGCAAGCCCGCTTTCTTTGGCTAACTTGTCGTACTCTTCTGGTGATGGCCACTGTGTTCGGACAAATGCACTTTTAAGCATGTGCAACTGCTCAGGTGATTTTTTGCACATCTTGCCTGTACTCACTGATTTAGCGGCACCAGATTCATCTCCGGGAGAGGCTTCTCCAGCTTCTTCTTTGGAACTACCTGCATTACTTTCATCTATTTCCGTTTTCTCTTCCCTTAAAGCTTTTGATTTATTCCTCTCTGTAAACCAAGTATCAATTTCTCTTCTGGTAAGTTTGGTTTGCGCTCTTAACCTATTTAATTCTTCATCTGTAAGCACGGAGCTGTTGAGAAAGCTTGCCTGAAGGGCCCGAAGCTGCTCTGCAGTCTTCTCTTTAAACTTCTGTGGAGTGAAGTCGGGAAAAGAATTCCAGGACTGTTTTGGCTGTGAAATAACACCAGTCGGCGATTCCGTGGTTTCATCACTGGAGTCTATAATAATGGTGGTCAAGGAATCATTGTTGAGATGCAAGCACTGATTACTCTTTGAATTTCTCTGGTTGTACCTGGTGTCACTAAACCACTTTTTAATCTCTCCTTTAGTCAGGCCTGTTATTTTCATAAGTCTGATAATTTCTGAATCATTGGGAAACTGATTTTTAAGGTAGCTGACTTTTAATTCTGCCAGTTGCTCTTTAGTCTTTTTTGCCCGAACGCCAAATGAGTCAGGGTTTGCCAATGCAGTTTCATGTTTGACAAGCTGAGAAGCTGTAACTGCTGCCGCTGCTGCTGGCTTTGTTTCTGCAACAGGCTGAGCAGCAGGTACCTGATTTTTCTGTGCATTTGTTTGATTCGGAACTCCTGCCACCGTCAAGGCTATAGGTGCTGTTACTGGTAAGGTGTTTGTTCCAGCTACTTGTGTGAGAACCAGACCTGGCTGACCCACTATTTGGCAGGTCTGTAAAATGGATGGTAAACCATTACTTGCTGTGGAAATGTGCGTAGGGATAACGGTTATGGTCTGAGGCACAGTATGTACTGTTCCATTGAATTGTTTTCTTCTTGCCTCCTCTACTTCTTCGGGAGTCCAACTAACACCATGTTTGAGACGTTGGGCTGAAAACCATATCTTGATCTGCTCCTCTGTATATTTTGCTTGAGCAGAAAGAACTGTAATTTCTGACATTGTTGGATAAGGGAATTTGTTGTAGGTATTAAGCAAAAGGGGGTTGTTATCCAATGCAGCATTGTAGGTAGGAATGCTATTAACAGGGATTAAGACTTTGGGAATCAAGTTAGAATTCTGCTGAGCTGACATGGCAGTTATCACCTGTGCTAAGCCAGGAAGAACTGCTGCTGGGGTCACTACTGTGCTGGCAGTATTTGGATGTATTCTGTTTATAATGGAAGTACTGGTATTAGATTCAGAGGCTGAAGAACTTGGATTTTCTACAGTTTCTTCATGGTCCGGTTTGATTTCATTCTCTTTCTCTTCAGGAACGTCTTCAACCGAATTATGATGAACTGTAATTCGTTTGTTCTCCACTTTATTCTTCATCATTTTCATGATAGGAGTTTTACTGATAGATATTCCTGACGAAGAAACATCCGTAGATTCTGCTTGCTCTGAATTCTCCTCTTTAACAAAACTACCATCAAAAGTCAGATCATTTATTGTTTGCTCAAAGATTGTCTGGTTATTACGTTTCACCATAGTCAACTTAAAATTCTCTTCTCCCGGGTGATACTTCAGATTATGCTCAGAAAGTGCATCATACCTTTTGGTAAGAAAATTGCATTCGACACAAACATAGGATGAATTTAGCACAACATTGGGATGTTCTGAATCCACATGAAAAGTAAACATATTTAAATCTGGAGTTTGAAAAGTACAATATTTACATTCATAGCCACCTTCTACTTTTTTGTGTTGCTGATTGTCAGAATCCACAGACTCATGAACTTCTTCATCACTTGACAGACTCTCTGCTCTGGTGTTTTCTACAGGTGTTAGAACAGGAGGACCTTCACCCAAATCTATCAACTCAAGGTCTGGATCCTGTTCACTGGCAAGGACCATGCAGGGTGTTGTTGATTTTCGCCTGCTTGCCATTCTGATGTTGTGGGAGGAAATCTCAGTGGTGGTTAAAAAGCATTGAGGCTTAAAACTGTCCTCTCTGAAGAACAGTATTCTTCATTTGAAAACAATGGCTTTTGGTCCTTCAAGTCCATTTTTGTGCTGGACAAGTCTCATTAGCAGCTTTTTCATGGTGCAATCAAGTAAAGAGCTTATTGTTGGCGGACAAAATACTGCTGAACCGCTGAAATTGTTGAAGCGGAACTCCAATCACCTACATCAAAATAAATTGAAAAAAAAGTTTTAATATGAGCCACTATGATCCTTTAAACAAATTACAGTTATACTTCACTTACATGAAGTCGCTGGATAGCTCATTTATATAGATCTAGAATAAGACAAGAACCAGAAAAAAACATCTTCAAAGGACCAAAATAGATGTCTCCAGGCTGACTCACTGAAGGTCATGTACTGTACTCCTGGGTCAGCCTCCAGGATTGTTTATTTGGATCTTTTAGCAGCTCGATATTAGAAGGGAAGGGGTAAAGGGCCTGCTTTGGCAAGCACACTATTATCAATGTGAAACGACAATGTGATAACAAGGTAGAAACTTTAAAACTATAGAAAGCAGTCATAGATACTCCAAAACTATGGGCATTAAGTGTGTAAGAAATTCAATCCATCACTTATATCCTCTTCTTCCTACTGATATAGCTCATCAGCCCAAAAGCATGCTCGAGTATGGCAAAAATCGCACGAAAGGGTTAGAAGGGTCAAAATTTCAGAAACATTATTCTTAACCATTCTCCACATAATGCTACCAGAATTTATAAAGCATATCTAATCATATCATTCTCCTTACTTAAAGTTTATGATGAGTCCCCACTGCTGAAAGAATAAAATACCAACTCCTTAGAGCACATATAATTCCTTCACAACCTGGCTCCAACCTCACTTTCCTGCCTCATCTCTTGCCATCTCTCTCTCCTTACTCCAATTTCCTTATGCTAGATGCACACCAAAAGTGATTGCTGTTCCAGGGACACTCAACACATTTTTGGACCTATGCTCAGGCCGTTCCTTATGCTAGGGCATTCTTCCATTGTTTGTGCACTTGATGAACTCTCTGCCTGCCCCACAGATCACCTTTCTCTTTCACCTGACCCAATCTACTCCCCTATTTTCTATTCTAACACCATATTGTAGCAGAGTAATGTTACATTTCTGTCCCCCACATCCATATCCATATCCATGATCCATAACCTCCCTATTGTAGATATTATGTCTCATTCTTTTTTTGGTAATAGCTGTATTGGGATAGGAGCCCTGGTGGTAGAGTGGTTAAGAGCTTGGCTGCTAACCAAAAGGTTAGCACTTCAAATCCACCAGCTGTTCCTTAGAAACCCTATGGGGCAGTTCTACTCTGTCCTATAAGGTCGCTATGATTTGGAATTGACTCGATGGAAACAGGTTTTATTGGGACATAACAAAGCTAGCAAAACTCCAGATAAACCAGGGGCTTTTAGATGTTCAGTCTAACGCTCTCCTAGTTAAGCTATTTTGGCTGACATATCATTCATTTTTATATCCCCTTTGTATACAAGAAGGCTGACAGTAAGTACTCACTATAAACACCCACTCCTCACTTATCAACATGATTAGGTTCCAAAGTCCAGGTCGTATGCGAAAATCAGTGTTTTGCAAAAATGGAGGATGACCACATCAGATCACAAAATGGAGGATGACTGCATCATTACATAACTACCGAATTACATCATTACATAACTGCCAAACCACTGAGAATCACGGCCCAGCCAAGCTGACACATAACCTTAACCATCACAGCCAGCATCACTCTCACCTTGCCCCTTGGCGTTTGTTATTGCCAGATGTACATCATTAATGCACAAAAGAGTCAGATAGAAGATTTTTTACTATTGTTGTAAATGTGAAATGTTGGATAACAAGGTAGTCGATAAGTAAGGAGTTGTTGCTGTTGCTGTCAGGTGCCACTGAGTCGGTTCTGACTCAGTGACCCTATGTACAACAGAACGAAACACTGCCCAGTCCTGCGCCATGCTCACAATCGTTGTTATGCTTGAGCCCACTGTTGCAACCACTGTGTCAATCCATCTCGTTGAGAGTCTTCCTCTTTTTTTGCTGACCCTGTACTTTACCAAGCATGATGTCCTTCTCCAGGGACTGACCCCTCCTAACAACATGTCCAAAGTATGTAAGACATATTCTTGCCATTCTTGCTTGTAAGGAGCATTCTGGCTGTACTTCTTCCAAGACAGATTTGTTCATTCTTTTGGCAGTCCACGGTATACTCAATATTCTTTGCCAACACCGCAATTCAAAGGCAGCAATTCTTCTTGTCCTCTTTATTCATTGGCCAGCTTTCCCATATGTATGATGTGACTGAAAATACCATGGCTTGGGTCAAGCGCACCTTAGTCTTCAAGGTGACATCTTTGCTTTTCAACACTTTAAAGAGGTCTTTTGCAGCAGACTTGCCCAATGCAATGTGTCTTTTGATTTCCTGTCTGCTGCTTCCATGGATGTTGACTGTGGATCCAAGTAAAATGAAATCCTTGACAACTTCAATCTTTTCTCCGTTTATCATGATGTCGCTTACTGGTGCAGTTGTGAGGATTTTTGTTTTCTTTATGTTGAGGTGTAATCTATACTGAAGGCTGTGGTGTTTGATCTTCACCAGTAAGTGCTTCAAGTCCTCTTTGCTTTCAGCAAGCAAGGTTGTATCATCTGCATAACACAGGTTGTTACTGAATCTTCCTCCAATCCTGATGCCCCGTTCTTCTTCATATAGTCCAACTTCTTGGATTATTTGCTCAGCATACAGACTGAATAGGTATGGTGAAAGGATGCCACCCTGACACACACCTTTCCTGATTTTAAACCACACAGTATCCCCTTGTTCTGTTCCAACAACTGCCTCTTGATCTACGTACAGGTTCCTCATGAGCACAATTAAGTGTTCTGGAATTCCCATTATTTGCAATGTTACCCATAATTTGTTATGATCCACACAGTCGAATGCCTTTGCATAGTCAATAAAACACAGGTAAACATCTTTCTGGTACTCTCTGCTTTCTGCCAGGATCCATCTGACATCAGCAATAACATCCCTGGTTCCACGTCCTCTTCTGAATCCAGCTTGGATTTCTGGTAGTTTTCTGTTGATATACCGCTGCAGCCGCTTTTGAATGATCTTCAGCAAAATTTTACTCGGGTGTGATATTAATGATATTGTTCAATAATTTCTGCATTCGGTTGGGTCACCTTTCTTGGGACTAGGCATAAATATGGATCTCTTCCAGTCAGTTGGCCAGGTAGCTGTCTTCCAAATTTCTTGGCATAGACAAGTGAGCACTTCCAGCACTGCATCCATTTGCTGAAACATCTCAGTTGATATTCCATCAATTCCTGCAGCCTTGTTCTTCACCAATGCCTTCAGTGCAGCTTGGACTTCTTCCTTCAGTACCATTGGTTCCTGATCATATGCTACCTCTTGAAATGGTTGAATGTTGACTCATTCTTTTTGCTATAATCACTCTGTGTATTCCTTCCATCTTCTTTTGATGCTTCCTACGTCATTTAATATTTTCCCCATAGAATCCTTCACTATCACAACTCGAGGCTTGAATTTTTTCTTCAGTTCTTTTAGCTTGAGAAATGCCAAGTGTGTTCTTCCCTTTTGGTTTTCTACCTCCAGCTCTTTGCACATGTCATTATAATATTTTACTTTGTTTTCCTGAGCCGGCGTCTGAAATCTTCTGTTCAGTTCTTTTACTTAATTATTTCTTCTTTTTGCTTTAGCTGCTTGATGTTCAAAAGCAAGTTTCAGAGTCTCTTCTGATATCCATTTTGGTCTTTTTTTTCTTTCCTGTCTATTTAAAGACCTCTTGCTTTCTTCATGTATGATGTCCTTGATGTCATTCCACAACTCATCTGGTCTTTGGTCATTAGTGTTCAACGTGTCAAATTTATTCTTGAGATGATCTCTAAATTCAGGTGGGATATACTCAAGGTCGTACTTTGGCTCTTGTGGACTTGTTCTAATTTTCTTCAGTTTCAATTTGAACTTGTATATGAGCAACTGATGGTCTGTTCCACAGTTGGCCCCTGGCCTTGTTCTGACTGATGATATTGAGCTTTTTAATGGTCTCTTTCCACAGATGTAGTTGATTTGTAGGTGTATTAAACTGAACTAAAACAAACAGGAAAACAGTCCAACGAAACTCAACACGTCCTTAGGACTTCAACATAGAGAACAATAGCTGAAATGCACAATAATGACCTTAAATCATCAAGAAAAAGTTCACTATATTCACACAAATGCATTTTAATAAGTTTTCTCCCTAAAATGTTTAAAATAAAAATATCACGCTAAATCAGTTAAAGTTTGTGTACTTCTGAAGTCTAGACCAAATGAAAATGAATTAAATGAATAACTGGTCTCATTTATTCTCTGTCACAAATCAGAGCTATTTTCATTTACTAGCATCATCCTTGTCCTATTTGAATTGAGCAGGAAAAAGTATGCTTCAATGGAACCATGTAGAAATGATAGGGATCATAAAGTAAAACCAGGAAGGACTCTATGAGGAGAGATATTGACTCAAAAAGGGGAAAACATTTTTAGGAAACACAGGTGTCCAAAGAGACAATGCCCTCCCTTGGGGGCAGTAACTTCCTCCTCACTGGAATTATTCAAATTCAGACTACATATCCAGTTGATAGGTTCAAGCAGCAGACAGAAAATCAAACCAAATGTCCCTTGTTCTCTTATTTCCCATATTACAGTGAAACCTGTGAGAGCTGAAACTCGATGGAACTGCCTTGGTTTTCTGGGTCTTGCAAGTTTTCCACCTTTGACAGGGTGGAGTCACCACTTTTCTATCGCTTTCTATTAGTGGAAAATATTTGAGTTTTCCTTCTCTGACAGGTTTTCACCTTACACAGGTTCCAACTTTCACAGGTTTTTGTATAAAAGTAAGGCATCAGTTTTCTAATAACAGCAGTATTAGGGGTCCACATACCCTATCTGAAAGGTGTCATGCTTTTTTTTCTAGAAAACTCCTTGGATTTCTTACAGATTATAAAGAAATTTAAAACTATTTCCTAACTAAATGTTTTAAACTAAGTTAATGCCCGCTCTCCTAATCAATTAAATAGAGGTCACTACTATGTTTTTCAAATGTCAACATAGCTGTTTGATCACTATCTGTCATCAGGAATGTCAAATCCCCA